GCCAGGCCAGCTAGTGCTCACACCTGTAAATCCTAGCACTCTGAGGGCAAGGCGGCGAATCGTTTGAGCCTCAGGAGTTTCCGGAGGGGCCAGCCTGGAGCAAAGAGCAAAAACCCTGGCTACTTGGGAAAAAATAGAAAAGAAATTAGCTGGACAACTAAAAATATATATATAAAAAATGTATCCCAGGCATGGTGGCGCATGCCTGTAATTCCAAGGCTACCTTTGTGGAGCTGAGGCAGGGGGATTGCGTTGAGCCCGAGATTTTGAGACTGCAGGTGACCTGTGATGACACCACTGGCCACTCTGGCCTGGGGCAACAGGAAGGGCAAGACGCGGTTCTCAAAAAAAAAAAAAAAAAGTTCTTTCCAGTTTAATTTGAACAAATGCTTTGGTTAGCATAAATTTTAAGCAGGTACCATTTATTTGTTTCTTCTTTTTTGAGGACAGAGTCTTCACTCTGCTAAGCCCTGGCTAGAGTGCACACTTAGTGTCCATCAAGCTCAACTAGCAAACTCCAACTCCCAGGTTCAAGCAGTCCTCCTGGCCCTTCAGCCTCCCAGAGTGCTAACGGGATTTACAGGTGTTGGCCACCGTGCCCAGCAGGCAGAAAATCTTTGTAAAAAATTATTCAAACTAGGCTGGGCACGGGTTGGCTCACGCCTGTGAACCTAGCTCTGGAGCCGAGCGGGCGATGCTCAAGGTCAGGATCAAAACCAGGGCCTGAGAAGAGAGGGAGACCCCGTCTCTACTAAAATAGAAAAAATTATAGGCAACTGATATATATATAAAAATTAGCCGGCATGTGGCGCATGCTGTAGTCCCAGCTACTCGGGAGGCTGAGCAGGAAGGATCAGCTCGAGCCCAGGATTTGAGGTTGCTGTGAGCTAGGCTGACGCACGGCACTCACCTAGCCTGGACAACAAAGCGAAGACTGTCTCAAAAAAAAAAAAAAAAAAAATATTATCAAACTTAACCACCAATAGGGCCAGAATGATGTTCGAACTTGTGATCAGCTTCTAGATTTACTGTCCAACGGGGTCTCCACTTCCCCACTACGGAACATTTTCGGGTCTGGAATTTACTCCTGGTGGGTGGGGACGTCCTTGCATCATAATTTTTAGGGGCAGCATCCCTGGCCTCTGCCCTCCCAGTTGTGCCAACCAAATTGGTGTCTTTTTTTTCCAGACACTGCCAACATGGTCTAGTGAGGGAGGGACAGTCACCCAGATGAGAAACCACTTGTATTCCACACCTGTGTCACTGGAACAAGCAGGCACGCATTCCAATTTCAAATGGACAGACTGCCAAACAAACCCTACCGTTACGACCTAAAACTCCTTTGGAACTCTCAGCAAGAACACTTTCCCCTGTCTGCACATCAGCAGAGGTTAACAAATTCCACACCACTTAAACTGGGCATCGCTGTGAAGGCGGCACCTCTCGCGCTGTGGCTCCGGGCTGGGTTGGTTCCTGGTCTCCCTGCACCACCACCTCCTGGGACGACAGAGGTCGTGCCGGCCCAAGGCCTGCTTCAAACCGTAGATATCTCGATGCGCTTGACTGCAACACAGCCTCGTTACTCTTACTTCATTAGCAAATTCAAAATTCCCTCATGGAAAAGTGCGGAAGCTGACTTACTACACCGTCATTATTTAAGGCATTATAAATTGCTTCAAAAAACCAAACATAGAAGAAAAACAAGAGCTGCAACAAAAAGTTAAACAGATAAGAATACTATCCAGAATGCAAACTGCTTTCATTAAAAGCTTCCCTAATTTTAGAAACCCTCTTCTTCATTTTCAAAAAAAGCCTTTCTCCTCAGCCAAGAAATAACAGTTGCATTTTCACAATGGAGGAAATCTGTCACTGTAACAGCACCATCTCCTGGAGCATTCCCACCAGTTTACGCACAAGGCTGCGCCCGCAGCCGCCGGACCGACCTGCTGACTGAACGGAGCCGGTCTGCTACAAGCCCTTCCACTGATGACCGGCACCTGAGAACCAGGAGGCCCACTGTGGATTGCTCAATCACACGTGAACGGGGCACACGTGGCTTCCAATACACAGCAAGGGGCATACACACGTGGGACATGTACCCACCTTGGAAGGCTAAGAGGGAAGAAGAGGAAGACCAAGATCTTGGGGGAAAAGTTGTGTGTGGAGGGTGAATATAGTCCCAATGATGAGGAAGTAGATGAGAAAGTGTCGTGGACACCGAGAAGCCCCTTTTGCTTCTCTGAAACCTTGACAGTTTCGAGAATGGCACATTATCTACCACTCCTAGGAGGTCCAACCCCTGTGTCACCCTGGGAGAGGCAGCAGGTGACATTCAAAGCTTGCAGGGGAGCCTACCTTCAGGTCTTCACTGCCTCCCAGACAGAAACTATAGCCAGGTTTTCAAAAGTGCATTGGATGGTTTGTTAGACTTCAATAAAAAAAGTAGTTTAAAAAAAAAAAAACAAAAAACAGGAGGATCGCTGACCCCAGGAGTCTGAGGCTGCTGTGAGCTAGGGCTGACACCACGGCACTCTAGCCCAGGCAAGAGAGGTGAGACTCTGTCTCAAAACAAAACAAAAACCTAAAAACAAGCCGGCACTGTGGGCTCACACCTATAATCCCAACTACTCCAGAAGGTGGAGTTGGTAGGGTCACATGAGCCCAGGAGTTCAGGACGAGCCTGGGCAACCTAAGTAAAACCCCGTCTCTACAAAAAATAATTAGCTGGGCATGGTAGCACACACCTGTAGTCCCAGCCACCCCGGGAGGCTGAGGGCAGGAGTTTGAAGTCCAGGGAGTTTGAGCTACAGTGAACTATAATTGTGCCACTGCACTCTGGCCTGGGCAATAGAGCGGAACCCTGTCTCTATAAATATAAATTTAAAAAAAACTTATTAAAAAGAAAGAAAAAACAGCTAGGCACAGTGGCTCATGCCTAAAATCCCACTCACTCTGGA